GTTTTTGGCTTGTCTAAGATGGATGACAATGAGATTCAGGAATCTTAAATATTATGGCAGCAATTTCTTCTGAGGCAATATGAATAAGTCAGGATAAACAATAACCAATTTTTTTTTGTGACAGTAACAAGAAGAAAACAGGTGTTTCATCATATAATCATTTAAAGAGTAAAACTAAAACAAATAGTTTAAATATTTCTCTGCAGGTGAGGTTCAATACAAGAAAACAGCCTTCATTAAACCTACCATCCATTTTTAAGAAAAACATTATACATGGGACTTTATTAATTCAAGGACAAGTTCAATTTACTTTTTATACTGTGCTGTCTCCCTCACCATGAAAATGCAATTGAGTCAATCAATTAAAAATTATAAAGGTAGCAAAGGATAAATACAGAAGGAATGCAATTCAAAGAGCTTTAAAGCTGTTCAAACTCACCCGGGCAACTAAGATCAAACTCACGGCTAACTTGTTTCTCCATATTCTGTATAGAGGAATTTAGTTGCAATGCACATGTATGATGTATGTTGATTGTCGTGCTTTAATAGATAACTCAAGTGCTTTCATCTTGTGATAGCATTTACCTATTAGTCATTAAATTTGGGATTATCTGAGGTTTTCATTAGTAAAAAAAAGTAAGTGATAATTTAAATTATTACAATTTGGTAGCTCACTGAAAAAAATAAGTTATTGAAAATTGGTGTGGACATAATTTACATGGGGTAATGCATAGTCCAGTTCTTTCCCTTTGTTTTGCCTGGTTCAATCTCTATCCAGGGTAGCATAACATGAGTGAGGCTTTATATATTTTGGGTTCTACAGGATTGTAGGGAGGCAAAATAGATAAGAAAAGAGTTTAATCCATTGGATAAAAGATGATTGGTGATAGGGTAAATAACATGTTGCTATTGGCAAACAAATAAGAACATTTAATCTTTTTTTCTTTGCTTTTTTTAAAATTTAAATTTGAAACAAACTTGTTTTACATGTCAATCCCAGTTCCCTCTCCCTCCCATACTCTGTTCCTCTCCCTGCAGCCAACCGCACTCCATCCCATCCCCTTTCTGCTCCCCAGGGAGGGTGAAGCCTTCCATGGGGAATCTTCAAAGTCTGTCATATCATTTGGAGCAGGGCCTAGGCCCCCCCTTCATGTGTCTAGGCTGAGGTAGTATCCCTCTATATGGGATAGGCTCCTAAAGTCCATTTGTACACTAGGGATAAATACTGATCTACTACCAGAGGCCCCATAGACTGCCAACTCCTCCTAACTGAGACCTACGTTCAGGGGGTCTGGGTTTGTCCTATGCTGCTTTCCCAGCTATCAGACTGGAGTCCATGAGCTCCCCCTTGAAGAACCTTTAATCTTTTATAATTATAATAAACGTGGCAGAAGTGGAAAATAGATAACAAGTAGAAGTTTATAGCTACCTTTTCTTATATGTCGAGAAAGGTCATGTGGTAGGAGTTAATGACCTCATCAAAAAGCAAATGAGAGCCTCCCTAGATGGACTTAACTCACGATATCACCTCATTCCTTCTCATTCCAATTCCATATTTTCAGTAAACAACCCTGTCTTTTTCTAATAAATTCATTTCATATATTATGTTAATTTTCCAAGAAATTTAATTTCCAGAGCTTTGCACCCCATCATTTTTTGCAATGCAATAGTATAAAAAATGTTAATACTAATATGTGACCATTCTTTGATCAGACTTACCCATTTAAGATAAAGATTGTATTGTGCATAGGAAAATGGAAAACTACCAGACGACTATCAGACTACCTTGGGAAATTTTTATGGTAGAGTCCATTTAGCAGGGTTCACAGAAAACCATAAGCTCTGTTTTATAAGGCCTAAAGCATGAAGTCGAGAGCTTTGCTCTCTGTTCCTCAGATGATACTGAATATAAAAAAGTCCTTTTCTCATTTGTGAGTATCTAAAAAGGATGACTGTATGACTTTTAACTTAAATAATATTAACTGTGACTTTTCTTTTTCTTCTGGAATTTGAGGACCTCTATTTAATCTCTCTTTAATTCCAACTTTGCCCCTTTCCCAGTAAAATATCTGATATTTCTTTAGGCCCACCTCTAAGATTTAGTCTCAGATGTTTTACTGAGGCCCAATGGTTCAGTGTCTCAAATATGATGTTCAGATGGGTTACTTGAACATATGCAATATTGCCTGATTTAAACCAGAGGTCTAAAGAAAATTCTACTCCACAAAGTTTTGAGCATACAGGATTGCAGAGCAGAGACCAAAACAAACAAAACAAACAAACAAACAAACAAAAAATAAAACCACATCTTTTTCACTCTGGTTTTTTTTTTTTTTTTTTTTTTTTTTTTTTTTTTACTTGAAACAGGTTTCACTAAGTAGCCCAAGCCTGATGGGAGACATTCTTCTGTATATATGTTTATTTATTTGGCCAGAGAGGCAGGAAAATAGACAGGGCTAGGAGACGAGGAGAATTCTGGGAAAGGTAGGCAGAGAGAGCACATCAAAACAGTCACCATGTAGACCACAAAGGAGTAACAGATCTGGGCATTCTCTAGTAAGTCAAGACCATCTAGAAATACATAGATAGTTATGGGTTTATAATTAGAAGAGAGCTAGCCAATAAGAAACCCTAGTCATCGGCCTAAAATATAGAGTCTTTGTGTGTTTATTTGGTGCTGAGAAGCAGCTGCAGGACCTGGTGGGATGAGAAAAAGTAACAGCAACACAAGCAGGCTTTAACTCTCAAACCCCTGCCTCCTGTGTTCCTAATAGTGAGGAAATGTGATTTCATCTTTAATATTTCAGATAGAAAATGTTGGATGTTTTTCATACTTCCTTTGACTGCTTGTGCTTTAGTGTTGTGATCAGTAAGATTCTGCACTTTATGAATGGTTTTGACATTAGCTCTGCAGATCAGTTTCTCTGCTCACTATTTCCCAAGGAGATGTCAACATTTCTGTACTCAGCCTGGTCTTAGGGGTGATATTCTTGCTCACCCCCGAAACTTCTCATATATCTAATTACAAGCACTAAGTTCCAAACCAGATTATAAAATTAAAGATTGTACCTCCACCAAGAAATGTACACATGAGACTTTGCCAGATTCTGATTTTTTAAATTTAATGTATATATCCCGAAGATATTTGAAATTCCCAACACAAATAAGAATGCATGAAGATAGACTGAATCACAATAGTGGAAAGCAGATCTCAAATGATTTTTATGAGTAATCACAGCTGTGATTACAAACTTGATTGTTGCCAGAGTTTTGCAGTTTGATTTTGGATATGATTTTCAATATCAGTCTTAGGTGATATTATGGTTTTCCTGAGTTGATGTCCATTAAAAGTAAGTGACATACATGTGACTGTTTTGTGTATATATTGCTTCTTGTTATGCAAAGGAAGCTTTAAAATGAACTTTTTATATTATGCTATACAGTAACTATTGTTATGGATGATTTTGCCCATATTTTAAAAATCATAAGATATTTGCCTTACATACTAAGCTTTACTTAGCTATTAAAATATGCTACCACTATCCGGGAAGGGCTAGTAGCCTTTCCACGGTTGCTCAAATTGTTAGTTGGTGTCAGTCTTGTAGGTCTCTAGACCTTTCTTTAGGTTCAGTTTTCTCTTCAAACCAGTAATGGCTCCCTCTTTCCCTTTTATGTTCTCTCTCTCTCTCTCTCTCTCTCTCTCTCTCTCTCTCTCTCTCTCTCTCTCTCCTGTCTTCTATTCCTACCCTGACTCAATCTTCCTAGTCGCACGTGCTTTCCTCTCCTCCCCTTGTCTTTCTCCTACTTTTCTCTACATTCACTCCCCCCCCCCCCCACTTCCCATGTGCTCTGGGGATCTTGTCCCTTACCCGTTCTGTGAGGGACTTTATATGAATCTCTTAGAATACACCTTGTATCCTAGTTCCTCTGGTGGTGTGAATTATAGGCTGGTGATCATTTGCTCTAGGTCTAAAACAACTAACTTATCCACTATCATGGAGCCCTCATCTAGTACCTACTGGAAACAGAAGCAAACACCCATACCTAAACACTGAGTCGAACTAGAATCCAGATGCAGATGGAGAGGATAAGACCAAGTTTCAGAAACACATAGAGACAGCTGACCTGAACAAGGAGGAGCTAACGGCCCCCAGACTGGTAGCTGAGAATCCAGCATGGGACTGACTCAAGACCCCCCTGAATATGGGTCTCAGCCAGAAGGACTGAGCAGTCTAAGGGACCTCAGACAGTGAAACCAGGATGTATTCCTGGTGCACAAAAAGACCTTATGGACACATCCCCCATGGAGGGATATTTCCTCAACTTAGAGACAGGAGAGAAGTCCTAGTCCCTACTTCAAATGACTTGATAGATTTACATTACCCCATTTGGATGGCATTGCCCTACATGTGGAATTAGGGTGGGGTATAGGAGGGGAGGGTGGTCAGAGTGCATGTGAGGGGACAGAAAGGGTAAGAGGGAGGGAGAGGGAAGTGGGATGAACATGTAAATTAAAAAAAAAGAAATAAATTTAAAAAAATGCTATCAACTGACTATACAGTCACTCCCTTGTATCTGTCGATATTGCTTTCACAGTTCCAATATTGACATACATGGTTTTTATTATGTCCTATCCTGGACATAATAGACCTTTTCTCATTATTCTCCAAACAATATAGTATAATTACTTCACTGTATTATACTGAGGAGCACAAGAATCTAGAGATGACTTAGACAATAAGGGATAATATGCTTAGGTTATAAGTAAACACTGTCATTTTTTAATATAAAGAACCTGGACATCATTACATTATTTATATTACAGTATGGGAAGACCTAGAACAAAATCCACATGGATACTGAAGGATGACTGGATATTTCTAATCTCTGAATAATTCAATTTATGTCTCCATATTTATGAAACAAATATAAAAACTGGGCTTTGAGAAAAGTGTTATGTGTCCTTTTATACTTAGTGTAGACCTCTCTTTGCATTTCAGAACTTTTGGACCTGAACAGAACATCAATATTTGAAAGCCCATTTAGATTTCTTGATCTCCATACAATGCTGCTGGATGAGTATCAAGAGCGGCTCTTTGTGGGCGGCAAGGACCTTGTCTATTCCCTGAACCTGGAACGAATCAGCAATGGCTACAGAGAGGTAGGTATTGAAACACCAACTATTTGAAAAAGGAAAGAAAGAGGGGTGGTATTATATTACAAGGGTGTTACCTGACATTTTTCTCATTGTGTCTACTGCTTTCAAATTTGCAATGATTACTTAATTGAAATAGAACTCCATTTCAAAGGAAATAATTTGAGGAAATTTATAAAGCATCCTATATGAACTTTCTAGCATGTCACTGACATTAAGATTTGCAGAGTTGCTTTTCATATGATTTGATGTTCTTGCACAATGAGTGACCTTTGTCACCACACCCACCTGCTGTGTGGAGACCTAGTTAGAGGATCCTGCACTAATAGCAGTACCTCCGAGATGCATTGTTCCAACATCCAAATATGGGCCTGTTATATAACTGCCTGGTATAGTTTCCTTGGCAATATGATGGGTGCTCCTCAAGCTTGTTGGAATTCACATCATTAAAGTGATATCAGTGTTGGGAATGGTGAGAAGGGGCAGTGTATTCAAAACAGAACTGAGTTAGGTTTCTCAGAATCATATCAATTTTACAGGCCATGTGAAGAAATTTAGATCATAGATTTTTGGCATTAGTGTGTATATGAAACAATTCACCTTATATATGCTTTCTTCTTACGTTTATCAAAATGAGCCAAAATTCTTTTTAAATTCTTTTATTCCAATTCAAAATTTGTTAAAAATATGCTAAAAAGCAGCATTGCTCAGTTTTTGCCAAGTCCTATTCCATAGAGGAAACAGTTTAAAATGTTTTGGTGTTTCTTTTAGATTTACTGTTTTATTTTTGTGTGAAATTCATGCAGTAGGAGCCGGGGCTAGGGCTTAGTGGGAGAACACATAATTAGTACTCTTGAGGTCTTTCATTGGTTTAACCCTAGCCTTCCTAATTCCCCTGCAAACACAAAAGGCAGAATCTTTGTACTGTCCATCAATAGATGTTTTACTGGTCTATCATCTGTTATCCTTAGGGAAGACAAAGACTTCCTTTCTCCTTTTTCAGAGAGAAATTCAAGGTTCTGTGCATCACCTATCACCTGCAACCCTTGACCCCCCCCACCTTCCCAATATACAGACTGAAATTTTTTTATTAATAGTTGCATATTTACAATATTGTAACTGTGAAGATAGTCACACCTTAACCTCCATTCCTTTCTTTAATTACTTTTTTTCCCTTTTTCTCCTTCCTTCTCTCTCTGCAACTTTCTTGTTTGTTGTGAAAAGAAAAAATGTACCTTATGCCATGCTCTTTAGTTTTTGTTGTTTGTACTGACTTTCTCATCAACCTTTAAGGAGGTTTGGATCATAGTACTCTAAGGGGATGTTTATACTTCTTTCAACAGAATGGATCTTGTGCTACTGGGGCATTCTCTGGGCCTCTCACCTCTGTGGATGTTTAGTTGTCTGGGGCCACATCTTTTGGGCTTTAGTCCAGCATTTTTTCTCAATCATTCCTTCTATATTTCTGAGAAAAAAACCTCAAGATTTGTATGTATATAAATATATTATACATATGGTCCTATGTATGTATATATATAGTTGACTTTGATCTCTCTCTCTCTCTCTCTTTCTCTCTCTCTCTCACACACACACACACACACATCTTTATTAAAGTTAATGGATACTGTCCAAATTCAAGCATCACATACGTCAATGCAGAAGAGAACACGAATGTTGGCTTTTGTATTTACAGGAAAAGAAAGAAGAGTGTAATTGAATTAAGGACTTTATGCATGACATATGTAAATACAGTTTCATCAATTCATATAAAGTTACTGTTATGTATATTATTTCAGGGCCGACCACTTCTATTAGATAAACTAATGCCTTCAAATAAGCACATTGTCTTCTCTCTTCTTCTCTAAGTGCCTTTGTACATGAATGCAGATACCTGCACATGACCTTCCAGTTAAGTTAGATGGATTATTCCCTCACTTTCATGATGGTCTCTTTCATACCTCAAACTCTCTTTCCATGTCTCTCAGTAATAATATGTCTATTTACTCAGATTTTCTGTGATGGAATATATAATGGGAACACAAAATAAACAACCCCAAATTAATTAGACCACATAATAATGGACCTGTCAATATCCAAAAATCAATTGTCAAAGAACTCAAGGAGCCCTACTCCTCACTGCTGAACAACTTGTTACTGATAGACTCAGAAAGAGTAAAACTTATTGCCTTCAGTTGGGTAGCAGCTATAACCCCATCAGGCTCCTGTGGAATTTGGTGCACATAGGTGGCTACTGCTAAATTAACAGGTCACAAACCAACCCTAGGAAAGGGGATGACACGAAAGGCCTTGATTGTGACAAGATGATATAGGGGAAAGTAATTAGAACATATTTTGTGCATGTATAAAACTGAAAAACCAAAGTGAGTCAATATGATACTAAGCCATATCAATCTCTATTAAAGTCACTAGTGTGTGGACTGTGGGGATAGCACAGCCTATAAAAAGCCTTTGCTGCACAAGCTTGACAGTTTGGGTTCATTCTCTGGAGCACCTAGTATAAAGAGAGAACTGACTCCCCAAGCTGATCTCTGATCCGCCCCCCCACACACACACACTGTGACATGCCTCTGCTATCATAAGATAAAAATACTTTAAAAAAAGAAAAATAGAATTTCTAATTTAGACGATGTTCCATGAGATCTAGGCCCTTGGAATGTGAGTAATATCTGCATTACAGACATGGTTCTTACATTGTAAGCTTTGGACCTGATCACAGAAAGGTCCTGGAGGTTATGACCGGCTTCTTAGGACACCAAATCATGAGAACATTTCCCTAAGCAGATGTCCCCCTTGGGTACAGAGAGATCAAGATGCAGAAGCCCCCACCACATTATAACTCCCCTTCAGTAGGGAAAATTGGATCTCCTACTTATTTCCCATTTATTGTTTTGGCCTAATTGTACCCTAGGGCCTTTGATGCCAGAAGATGAGATTTCATGAAGGAAATGACCTGTGAAAATAATATAAGAGTAGGGGACCTGGAGCATGGTGGGTTTTATGAACCAACTCTTAGGGAGGCAATAGAGAGGCCATTGATCTTCAGGTAGTATGGCAATCATGAGGTCATTGATCTTCAGGGTGCATCTAGCAAGGATGCCAATGAAAGTAACTTAAAACACTATTAGATTGGATATGTTTTTTTTCTGTACTGATAGAAATACCTTGGTTTTGTGGGAACTAAAGCTTACATGTTCCTGAGAGTCTTCATAATGTAGTTAACATTACAAAGGCCCCTGCCAGGTCAACTGCAGGGGCAGATCCCAAGGAATTGTGCAGTGGTTTGTGCCTATTTGACTTTAGGTAACATGTTCTCCTTACATTTCTTTTTCTTTATTTTTTCATTTTTTAAAATTATTTTTAGTTTACATACGGATCCCAGTTCCCTCTCCCTCCTTCCCTCTTTTCATCTCCCCCACCCTCCCATGCCCCCATCACCCTCCTCTCCCATCCCCTTCCCCCACTCTAAATGTAGGGTGATGCCTTCCAGGAGGAGTCATCTAAATCTATCAAGGCATTTGGAATAGGGTCTAGGCCCTCCCTCCTGCCTCTAGGTTAAGGGAGTATCCCTCCATGGGGAATGTGCTCCCAAAGTCCTTGTGTGCACCAGGGATACATCCTGTTTCCACTGTCAGAGGTCCTATAGACTGCCTAGGCCTTCAAACTGAGACCCATGTTCGGGGAGTCTGGAGTCAGTCCCATGCTGGATTCCCAGCTTTCACTCTGGGGGCCCATTAGCTCCTCCTTGTTCAGGTCAGCTGTCTCTATGTGTTTCTGTAGCCTGGTCTTGTCCCCCCTCTGCATCCGGATTCCAGTTCGGCTCAGTGTTTAGTTGTGTCCACTTCTGTTTCCATCAGCTACTAGATGAGGGCTCTATGATGGTGGATAAATTAGACATTGATCTCATTATCAGGGAAGGATATTTATGATAGCCTTTCCACTGTTGCTTAAATTGTTAGCTGGGGTCAGTCTTGTAGGTCTCTGGATATTTCTCTAGGTGCAGTTTTCTCTTCAAACCTATAATGGCTCCCTCTTTTATGTGCTTTCTCTCTCTCTCTCTCTCTCTCTCTCTCTCTCTCTCTCTCTCTCTCTCTCTCTCTCTTCTCTCATCTATTCCTTCCCTAGCTCAATCTTCCTTGTCCCATGTGCTTTCCTCTTCTCCCTTTCTCTTTCTCCTAGCTCCCTCTCCACTCGCTGACCCCCCACTCCCAATATGTCAGGAGATCTTGTCCCTTTTTCCTTCTGTGAGGGTCCTTAAATGAATCTCTTAGATCCTCCTTGTTTCCTAGTTTCTCTGGTGGTGTGAATTATAGGCTGGTGGTCCTTTGCTCTATGTCTAAAATCCATATGTGAGTGAGTACATACCATGTGTAAGGTGTACAGTTTTTTCCGCCCACCGCTGGTTTTGTCCCGCCGCCGCGCCAGCCCCAAATAATACACAGAGACTCTGTATTTGATATAATCTGTTGGCCAGTTACTAGTTTCTTATCGGCTAGCTATGTCTTAATTATTAACCCATTTCTTCTGATCTATGTATTTTCACGTGGTCTTACCAGTGAGAGGCGGCTGGCGGTTCTGCCTCTCCTGACTCTCCATCTTGGCTCCTCCTTCCTACTTCCTCTTTTCTCCTTGTCTCCTAGTCCCTCCTATCTTCCTTTCCTATTGGCCAACAGTACTTTATTCATTAACCAGTATGAAAAATATATACAGAATGACATCTCCCATCATAACGTTCCTCTTTTTTGTGACTGGGTTACCTTATTCAGGATGGTTTCTTCAAGTTCCATCCACTTGCCCGCGAATTTCAAGATTCTGTTGTTTTTTTTTTCCCACAGAGTAGTATTCCACTGTGTAGATGTGCCACATCTTCTTTATCCATTCTTCAGTTGAGGGGCATCTTCCAGGTTCTTGCTATTACAAATAATGCTGCTACAAACATAGTTGAGCACATGTCTTTGTTGCATGGATGCGGATCATTTGGGTATATG